GATTGGACAGCGAATCCTTGCTGCAATTTTGAATTGTTGGATTCTATTGAAATCTCCACCAATATACGAGAGATTTAATTGAGACCGATTTTAAGTGTAAATTCCTTTGCCATAATGTAAACAGATTATTGTGTCAGGCCAGGCTGTTCTTTGAGATACCCTTTGTTTTAAAAAGGTTCTTCCTACATAAGTTCACATTGTTGTGGTCTAGAATGAGAAGAACCAGTTTGGTTGGGTTTGTCACAGAAGATAACATTAGAAACTAACTCCTTTTAGCACACACTCATCATTATAACCTGAAAAATGCACCCTACAATGGCTGTATGAATGTATTATATCTGCTCCATTACAGGTAGAGATTTACCACAACCTATCTAATGGAAGTGCTGATCTATCTGAAGAAATAACATCTGCAGGACATCTGCTGACATGCAAATGCTTGTCCTAGCTGAAATATACGTTGTATAGTTTCCTTATGTAGGAAAAATGTTAAGGTTTTACATTTCCAACCTGCAAAAATAAATCATTTTATTGTGAAGTATGAAGCAGACTGATTTTAAACTGAATAAGCCCTGTTCAATTTAATGCTTTTCAGAGTTCTCAAAAGGATCATTGTTCTAATATGCTTGATAGTTTAGTGAATGTATATTGTCTACCTTGAGACCCCACAGAGCAGTGTAAAGGACCATGAAAAGCTACGTTCCTTACTCTGTCAAGATGGTTCACCTAAATGTTTTTATTTCATTTCTGTGCAAATATATTTTAATAATAATATTTGCAAAACATTTGGAATTCTTGTAACCATGGAACCATCTTTCGACTTGGAAATCGCTTGACTTTTCAACCTGTCATCAATATCATCACTTGCATTGCTGAAAAATATAGGGTTTGTTGAATGGCTAAACTTGAAAGCCATTGTATTCCTTTACAGTAATTAAAATGTGAATATTAGCTTGATAAACTGATATCATTTGCCCATTCCCTGCTTCCAGATTGACAATTCCACAATGATTCTCTCATTGATAAGTGGTGATAGGTTTTACTAGAAATACATCATATAGAATTAACAGAATATTGTTCAAAATTTCATTCAATAATTAATTTGCCTACAAGATGCATTCACTGCACTCTACACTAAATCAATCCCATGATAGTATTGAGACATCCTCCTGACATGGTATTATCAAATGCAAGGATTATTATTAATTTGTATAAAGTACTTCTCTGGGTAACTCACAGAAATATATATTCATGTTTAAAATGAATATATGGAGTCCTGTAACTTAATGTACTCACCTCACAAGCGAGAGGACCTGGGTTCGATTCCCAGGCAGGGCGAAACATTAGGCAAATTTCCTTACTCCACATGTTAATATCAATGTGCTATGCTTTGAGATCACTTGAATGAATCTCAAGTAGGATATGTTTCAAGCCCACATAAGCTTTCCATAGATGGTTTCGTTAGTTGGCATAACACTGAATGGTGATTCAATGATCCAACAGCTCCAGTACAAGTGGGGTTAAGGAGAATTAAATTAAATCTGGTTTGTAAAAAAATGATATTCCTCACACCAGCTACTTGGAAGATAATTTTGTTTTTTTGAAGTTCAATATTAACACAGAAGTGTGTGTTTTTGAGCTGTTGGCCTCTGTTTTATATACCAAGCTTCCAGCTTTCCTCTAAGCAACGTATAGAAATCAGTCCTAAGAGTAGTCCTGTTGCATAAAGATAAGTATCATTATAAAAGGTCCAGTCTGCTTAAATATATGAACTTCAACATAATTATAAACAGTAAAAATGGAACTGAACACTACAGGATTCATCTGTTGAATACTGACCAGATCATTCACACAGAAGTTATTTTCTGTCATGCAAATAGCTTTAGAAATAACTGCTCAATATATTTTAATTAGTAATTATCTAAAGCAATGTTTTTCGATATTTTTCCTTCAACATATTGTATTCTGCACTCAGAAAAACAGATATCCTGATGATCCAACTTGATGCAAATCCATGAAATGTATTTTTGATTCATTCTTTTTCTCAAACAAGTCTCGGTCTGGCAAGTCCATGCTTTCACTTGTCTGGCAAATTCTTCCCATTTTGATAGAATGTAGTGAGATTCTCATCAGCCCAAACAATTTGGACAGAAGTACTTGTGAACAAACAGAAAATCGTATTATCACAATTCACAAATCCTACAAAGATATTTTTAACTATGAAAACATTAGACTTAGGAGTCCAAATTGTGGTGTTCCTAAACATATTCCATTCCTGCCAGTGATGTTTTTGTCATTCAGGACATTAAATTAACTTTCACATTTTATCCTTTTAAATGTCTGGTATTGCAAAATGTATTCGATGGTTTTAAGGGCTCTGTGCCATTAATCGTACAGAATTGCAAATTCCTTTCCAACAGAACACATTAGTTGGGTTTTCATAACAACTGACAGCAAAACCCATATCCTTTTTGTGCAACGCAGTGGTCAAGGAATCAGGAATAGAAATTCGATAAGTCACATTTGATTATTTGCCTTTCCTTTTGCTCATAATCGAACAGCAGAGAATCGGTTTAGGGGGATAAGCCACAGTCATGTCTGTGAACTCAGTCATTGTCCCATTTCCTTCAGTGTGAGGTCAACGGATTGCCCTGCTTTTGCTCACCCCTTCACTTTTAGCTCAAGCTTGGCTGCTTCTTTTCAAATTGGCTTAGCAAAATATTTCAGACTAACTTCAAAGGTGTATTCAACAGAGTATGTTTATTTGTGAACTATATAACACTTTCAATGTGCGTTTAATGCTAACAAAAACTCCTTGCAACACGTTATATGGTATATGACCTTCCCAGTTGAAAAGTTTGAAGGCGGAATTTTGCGTTTGCCGTATGAGCCATTGGAGGTCGTGGAAGTTGACCCTGTCTTTGTCATCTATTTGCTCTCCATTTTGGAGTCTCGTTTCAGACGAAATGTGTGTTTAATGAACTGATGGTGGTTCCACAGTGCAGTATTACACTTTAAAGCCGAAGCTTAGCGAGAAATATAATGCTATTAATACAAAAATTTACTTGCTGTCTCTTCATATTTGTGCCATGGATTTTTATTTTAAAAAATTGCCCCCCACCAAAATTAAATAATAATAATGATTGCATTTGATATGGCATCTTTCACATTCGGAGAATATCTCAAAGCACCACACAGAATTTGTTGTAAACTGTACTCACTATTTTCGAAGTGAATCCCTGCAATTCAATTACTTTATTAACTGAAATGGACAAATATTCTTCATTACTGGCAAAAAATACACTTACTACTTCATCCTAAACACAGGATGTGGTGATATACATACATGCAAAGTCAGACTATCAACCAGATTGATGAACATTTTGAGGCAGTTTAGTATTCTATAGGCAAGTAGAACATTTATAAATTTAGTTTCAGGTAGGGTTTTTTTTTAATGAGCACTATCTCAACAAGAAAGCAGACTGTAACTCAAAGCACAATTTAACTTAAGCAAACAATTGATATATCTGTCTTCTGCTCTCTTAGTCAACAGTACATTGGTAAATCTGATTTCTCATTTTCTTCCATTTCCATTCTTTACATTTTAGCTGAAATGTTTTCTTTTTTTCTCTGCCAGGGTATAGTGTGTACTTTGGCATATGTTTTAGTCTCAGTACAGTATATTACACCTGTCAGAAGGAGAAATAAAAGCTTGACCGATCTTTCTGGATGGATGTTTGGAAATGTGCTGATTAAGCAAACGATAGACGCAAATGACACATTCACAGAAAGAACATAATATTGAATTGTGCTTCATGATATCCCTTCATAGCCTTATTTCTTCATGTTTTTCAAACATCTTGTAAACTACATTTGTCTTCACTACTGCAAATCGTTACTAGGTACAAACATTTCAGGTTGAAAAGATGAATTGATTCACATGGAGGTGAATTATCCTAACACAACCTTTGCTGGATTACAGAGCTCGGAAAGCAACAGACTATACAGAAACATTACAGATCTCCATTAAAGAGTCCACATGAAGAAGAAAATGTTGCTCAATGATTGAAACCCAATTATTTCCACTTAACGTTTAACTTTTTAATTAATGGATTTTAACATCAACAGTTCAGGAAACTTATCCAAATATTATTTTTATTGTTTGAGTTATTCAAGTTTAGCGGAAACCTGTTTTAACCCTTTAACCAGCTGCGAATTCCAGAATTCCATTTAATATTACTGTAACGATCAAAGGTCCATCCAGACCTTTGAATTGCTTCATTATCGCAATATACTGTAATGATAGATTTTAAGTATACGTTGAACCAAAATGCACAAAAGTGGTTGGCCCACAGATAGCAGATATGTAAGAGGTCCTATTTTCACTAATAACTAATAAATATAGAAATGGCATTTAACTACAATTAATCATCACTAAACGGTACACTAGTCATGCCTTTTCACTTGTTCACTTGTGATATTCCTGCTCGTTCAACCAGGTAAAGGATAAAAAATATAATTGTTATCATTGAACTCATATAAATGCGTACCTGTTACTTATATCAAGGCTTGTTGCTTTTACGCTTATATAATTTCCAACAAAGCACTGGTTATGATTGGGCATTCTTACCTCACTGATATTACTCATATATTTATTTGTATAGCATCTAGTTTAGGCTCTGATTTTTGGAAATAATGAACTACAGAATTAAAAAATATATAGCCCAGCTACAATGTTAAAACTGTTTGCTTTGCTTAAGTTAGCTGGGAGATTCTATGCATTACAGGTTTCAGCTATGCGATTGGGAGCTTGGTACACATTCAAGTTTTTTTTTGTGTGTATGTGTGTGAGAGGTTAGTGTCAAGTGGGTTTACCCCTTACTTGATCAAAATGAATCCTTGTGAAAAAAAAAAGCTGATGATGTATGTGCCAGTGGACATGAGGCATGGAATACTTCAATAGCCTATCGCAGATCTTGCAAAATGTTGACGTTTCCCTTGGGGAACTTTAAAGAAACAGATCAGTCAGTCTGATCGCAGCAGAAGTGTGCTGAAACTGTCTTAACCACTTGTTGAGGAGCTCAGTTTGTGTGCGAAGGCCAGGCTTCAGTCTGGATCGTTGCTGTTCTTGGTCGAGATATTAAGTAAGGTATGTGGGACAGACAATATCGTACAATTTAGGTGCTTATTGCACTGCTCCTGTTGCCTCAAAATGAATTCATTTCACAATGTTCCATCTATTGCAAAGGATGAGGAAGTTTTGCAGGTAAAAAAAAAACTTGTTGGAAAGGATAAATTGTTTATAGAGGTTTAAGATCAAATAAGAATGCATTGGTTTGGTGACAGAACAAATAAGGTCATAGATTGTGCAGGTTTTAATGTTTGATGCAGGTTTTAATCTTTGAACATACAGGGAATTTTACTGGAGGGATGACTGTATTGCACACCTGCCTTTGCCTGACGGGTTTGGTGCTATGGATCATTCAGGAGTCCAGCGCTTTAGTGCTGTCTAACGTCACCGAACTTCTGCAACACAATGCTGAGATGGAGCCAGCGCTGAGGAGGTTTCTGCAGACCGATAGTGTCCCCCGCAGCAACAGACGCAAACGGCACATCTCTCAACGCGACAGGCTGGGCATCCTGGAGTATCACAACTGGGTCAGGTCTCAAGTCTTCCCACCCGCAGCTAACATGGAGTATATGGTGAGTGGTCCCTCCGGGGAGAGAGTGTGAATTCCTTTCACGTTTTTTAAAAATAATAATAATATTTTGGTCGCTCGATCTACGACTGTCTGTGGGGACGCTGCTGTGCGCAATTGGCTGCCACATTTCACCCACAAAATGGACAGTCAATTCACTTTACAGCACATTCTGTGAAGCGCTTTGAGACGTCTCGAAGGCGTGATAAGGCGCTGTATCAAATGCAAGGATTATTGTTATTCCAATCCAACAATCTATCTCTGGGATTTCTATGCGGAGGTGGGTTGTATGGAATTCTCAGTTTGGTTTGGGTACACTTAAGCGCGGTGATGGGTTTCCGCATGTGTCAGACACCCAGATGACCCCCCAAAAATGGTGAGTGGGACTCGGATTCAGTCGATCGCTTGTGTGTTTGTCGATGGGATGAAGAGGAAATAAAACTATTTTGTTTTAATTGCAAAAAAAAATTGTGTTTGTTTATTTCATAATTAAGCTTGTGAAGGATTCTATGAGTCCAGTGTAACAAGGACTGTTTAGCAAAATAACAATCATCCTTCTGCTTTCCTTCACAAATGTTTTAGTTATCTTTATTTTGGACTAACACCAGAAACGTTGACGAATAATAATAATAATAACAATAATAATCGTTGCACTTGATATCGTGTCTTATCACATCATTGAGACATCTCGAAGCGCTTCACAGAACACACCGTAAAATAAATCGACTCTATTTTGTGGGTGAAACGCGGCATAATAATAATAAGTGAAATCACTTGAAATAAAATGTTTCAACATATATTAAAACAAACAGCTCTCTTGTGGTTACATTCTATGGCTGTTACTATTGTATCTCTCTTTCTACTACACACCAGTCGGCTAGACTCTATTCGGGAGAAATAACCAGTGAATCAACAGTTGCTATTGGACAGGAAGACAAGAATTCTCAAGAACGGTTGCTTACAGTTTTATATTTACAACCACTGCTGTTCTGATGTAACGTAGTTGCTGTTGAAATAAAGGGTCAGTTACCCATGTCTCAATTATTGAACTAGCAAAAGAAACTAACATTTACAAAACAGTGTTGGCCACTGCTCCACTCCTCATTGAACATTTTGCCAACTGCACTCACTGCCAAGGCACACACATGGATAATGGGACACTTTGAAGCAGTATCGGATTCCAACCAATTTCTGTGAAACTCTGCTGTCTGGTAGGAAAATAGAATGAAACACCACGAGCGAGGTTAGAAGTCGAGGGGAGAAATTTGATTGAAAAAAAGAAGGAAAAAAGTTGAAGGAAAAATAGAAAGCAATAGTGATATTAGTGTACAGCGATTTGCGATATAATTCCTTAACTATTAGCAAGTAGCAGCAGAGTTTTACCCAGGACCAGTGTGATGTAACCTGAGTCCCCACTCCGGTAGCTTTTTAAGGAATCGGTTAGAAAGCAGCACGTACAAGTCTGGGTCAACTTAATTCAGTTGGAAGCATTCTTGTGGCTGGCTCAGAGATTTGTGGTTTGAAGCCAATGTTGGAACTTTGAACTTGCAGTCGAGGCTGATGTTGCAATACTTTAGCGCTGCTAAAGGTCTGCGTTCTGTCCTTCAGATCGGACATTGAACCAAGGACCTCTCTGGTCTGCCTGCTCAGGGGAGATGTTAACAATCCCATGCCGCCATTTGAAAAGAAGGGAACTTTTCTTGGCGTCCTGTCCAATAGTGCTCCAGATTAAAACAAAAAGGATCATTCACTTCATGGCTATTTGTGGAACGTGCTGTGTGGCAATTGATTGTTATGTTCACCTACGTATAGACAGTCGCTACATTTTACAGAAAATTGGCACTTTTTAATGTTAAAAAAAGATGCTTTTTGATGTTAAAGCTGCTGTATCAAAGCAAGGATTATCATTATAACATTTTGCTGACAGTTGTTGGTTCAGTAAACAAGAATTTCCAATGGGAGTCCACCTCCTACTCTGCTAGCTTGGACACCTTTGTAATGCTTCAAAGCTTTGAGCATTGCCAAGCATTGATATGTTGGGCTATTAACTGGAGATATTGGAGCGTTTGGCAGGTAACTGGGATGTATCACTATATTATGGAATACTTTGGATCACCAAGTAACGACTTCACACCTCTTCTACGACAAGAGGCACTTTGGCCTTCGGAAGTTTACAACATCTGAATTGTGTTTAATTTGAACTGGTACCAGTCCGCACATGTCAAAGTGAAGCTAACTGTGTCATTTCATCATCGGGATTCTCTCAGTGTGTTTTAACATTACACAGAGAGTATTGACGCTAAAACAGGAAATACAGGTAGATGAGCTTTCACTTTGTTTTTCTGACAGATCTGGGATGACAGACTAGCGAAATCTGCTGAGGCTTGGGCAGCGCAATGTGTATGGGATCATGGGCCACCTAGCTTGATGAGATACATTGGTCAAAATCTATCCACTCAGTCTGGCCGGTAAGTATAGGAGATTTGTTTGTAACTATCAGGAATCAGTGTTATTACACAGAAGTAATACCAAGCTTTTAACTGAATCAATGTAATGTTATTTTCCCACTTTATTATAATAACAATCCTTGCATTTGATACAGTGCCTTATCACGACTTCGAGACGTCTCAAAGTGGGTCAAATTTACCCCAGTTTATGCTGAATAGATAAGATTATCCTTTTCTAAGCTTGTTACACATATTCAGTATTTTACAAAGAAAATAAATTCACATTGTCACTAAATTTGAAAGTTTGTTTTTTAATCTTGGTGTTAATCCCCTCCTTCACCAGAATATTATTTTGTGAAACATTTCATGTATTAATCTAAGAATTCGTCATATTTGGAGACAGATTTTGTTATACTTTTATTAAAGCGACAATTATTGATAGTTATCACCATTTTATTTTGTCTTGAAGCTTTCTGTTCAAACCTGGGTTATGTTGGTGATGAGATTACAGTTTATTTTAGTTGCACTTAATTCTTTTGGTCTTTTCTCCTCAGCTATCGATCCATTTTAGATCTTGTAAAATCCTGGTATGATGAAGGTCGTTATTACTCCTACCCTCATCCTAGAGAATGTAATCCACGCTGTCCAAATAAATGCAGTGGAGCAGTTTGCTCTCATTATACACAGGTAATAACAATTCAGTTAACTAACGGAAGATACTGACAGCCTCTCAATTACCAAGCAGTAATCCCAAACCTACCTTCCTTTGTGGCGGTGGGGGGCGGGTGGGGGGAGGAAGTATTGAGGGTTACCTTGAGGCTACCTCTAAGTTGAAGTGCATGACAAATAAATATCAGCATTGGGCCGATCTTTTATGGTGGTCTCAGTAATCCAGTTGCTGAGACAAGTGGGTCTTCAGGATTTCAAGATCATTGAATGACAAACCAGCCAGCTTGACCAGGGATTCTTCCCACTCAGCTCCTATCAAACCCGCAAGCCATAGCTCTAGCCAAGTGGTTCTGGATGAATTTCCTAAATGGATGGATTTCAGTCATTGTACCTCATGTTTCAGATGGTGTGGGCTGCATCGAACAGAATAGGCTGTGCCGTTCACACCTGCAATAACATGAATGTCTGGGGAGCATCATGGCGTCGCACAACTTTTCTAGTGTGCAATTATTCTATAAAGTAAGTACATAGGCTTTACACCTTAAACGTGCACTGTGGACCTGAGTGCAAGTAGAGCAAGTAAAGATAACAAGATAGCATTCTGAATCATAATTCAGAACTGGATTCAGAAAACTGGATTCATTTGCACAAACTGGTTATGTAAAATACTGTATGTTCATGGTAACTCGACCCATTTAACTACTGCTACCGCATTATGTAACTGCTTTACGCCATTGTATAGTTGATGGCACTAATATCAATATTATATTTAAAAATATTGATATATTTAAATAGAAAAGTTCGGATGAGTGCTCTGTGTGCAATGCGCTCAAATTCCTAGCCAGATTACATTCTGGGAAGTTCTCTCGATTAAGACCTGTCACATTTTAGAAGGCATTGCAGCAGGAAGGAAGGCTGTACGAAAGTGAACAGCAATCACTTTACACAGTGAAATAACCAATGTAAATGATTTTTTCCCCCTCTCTCACAGGGGAAACTGGATTGGAGAAGCACCATATAAATCAGGAAAACCCTGTTCAGCTTGTCCGCCCAGCTACGGAGGCTCCTGTAGCAACAACATGTGTTTCCCAGGAGTAATATCAAATAAGTTGTCCTTCAAATAATTTATGTTATGTCGATTTTTTTTTTGGTGGGGGGGAGGGAGGAAATTACAAAGAAATACTAAAAGGTAAAGATGCACAATGCCTTTGCCATATAGGAGATTTGTATATTGCTTTCCATTGTTTTGCTTACGTTTCAGAGTTTCCAACCCACACCACCACCCCCCCACCTAATTCCTTGAAATGCAGTGAAAATAAGGACTAGATTGGAAGGTCAAGCCAATTATGTTTTAGTGTAAAAAAAAGTTTTAAAACTGGGAAATAATATAATTAATTGTTTTTTTTATAATCTGAAACACTCAAGGTTCGGGCTGTTATGCAACTATTGTTTTTGAGGTGTGTACCTTCGATGTTTCAAAGACTTCGGTTTGGTGCTGTGCGTAATTGCAGTTGAATTGCCCCTTTCTCTCCTTTTCAAAGTTTTCAAGAGTTTATGACTCCTCAATATTTTCACCAGCATTAATTACCTGTGTGTTGAGGTGCAAAAAGATGATGAATTCATGAACGTAATCTGTAATCAACAATGGAAAGTGCATGATCCGATACCAAATTAGTAGTAAAACATGTGCCCAGTGGGAAACATAGCCCAATTGTGTATCCAAACACGTGCAAAGATGGAATTGTAAGCAGAAAAATGTTTGTACAATTACACACCTGCTGATCTGAAGGTGTCCAAAGATGCCTATGCTGCAAACAGAGTGGTTGCAACATGTGTGATCAGCCTCATCATTGGATTAGCTGCTGTCTGACTTAAAAGCCAGAAATTCTTGATAAATGTCGTTCATTTAGTGTTTGTTCTGCTCGTATTGGTGCCATCTAGGGTTAGCGTGACGTACTTGCAGTCAATTTGGGGCAAAATGACTTACAAGCAAATCGACTTGATGAATCCTGGCTATGTTAATTATTGGGCTTCTAGCCAGTCTACAGACTTTTGGGGCTGACCCCAACATTGCTGACAAAAACACATTTTTTTTGGTGCTACTTTAACACAATGCCCGTGACCCTGACTCAAAATAAGAAAGGTTTAGCAACTGCTTATTGCTGAGATGGTAAAGTAATACATTTCACCCAATTAGGAAATGTAGTATTTGTGCTGTATATACCTTGATTTACAGAGTAGATCTAATTTTTTAAAAAACCTACTGAGGTAGGAAAGTGTACAGACTTGCATTGTGTATTTACCTAGCTTTCAATAAAAGTGACTTTTATAACAATAGGTGTACACAATTTTGCTTTAACACCTAGGGACATGATGGCATTCTGGAAAACAACATGACAAATGTATTATCTGATCTTGCAGGGAGGTCTTACATAAATTGCATCTACATTTTTTTGGTATTAATGAGTGGAGACCACAAAACAGCATGTTGCATTTGTTAATTGCGAAAAGGTTAGGAAATATTCACATTATTCAGTAGGTGGTGCTGAATGACACCATCACTGTTTGTTGGATTGATGGGCCAACCCATGACAGCCAGAGTAAGATAATAATCTGTCAGACCAGAGATTAAAGAAAAATAAGCAATGCTCATTAAATAATGGAAGTTTTAGAATTTTATTTTTTCTCCAATTAAATCATGTCTGATATTCGAGACACAGAAAGCTTAACTGCGTGCTGGTTTCAAAATTCTGCCTTTATTTCTTTGTTTTATTTTATCTCTTTTTAACCGACATAATCATCCCATCAATTGCATTCAGAATGACTAATCTGTCCTCAACCGTTTACTATCTGTCGTAAAATATCTACTGCTGTGCCATTACGGCACTTCCATAAGCAGAGAAGTACAACTTGTGCTCCTTCACTAACACACTTTTGAAAAAGTGTATAGGAGAGAGATAGTGTGTGATTTTGTTTTATCAAATAATAATTTGAGTAGACTTCTGCATTTGTTTTTAAAAAAAGAAGAGCACATTTTCTGTCCTAGATTCACTGCCTTCTGTTCCGTTGTCAATAATAAATTATGCCTTTGCGTGACAATATAATCTAGGAGCTACAATAAAAAATGTTTGCCTTTGCTATCTCTCACACCCTCATAAATCAGAGCACGGTGAGGTAATGTGCTTATTGATTTGCTTTTGGCGGTGCTCGGTTTAGAAGATGGGGAAGGCCATTTTTAACATGTCTGCCAAGTGAACATATTACTATTATTTTGCTCAGTCATTTTTTTAAAAAAACAAAACTAAAGGAGTAAGAGAAAATTTATTTCTAAGGCTAACAAAAGACCGTCAGAAACATTGATGCATCTGATGTTGGAAGTTAATTCTTTGTACCATAAACGAATGATACCATAATTATATTCTTAAGTGATCTCTCCAGGATTTGCTAAAATGGTCCAAGGTTCATTAAATCAAGGTTGTGCCATAAAGCAATCAGTTACATAGAGACTTAGCCAGAACTGCATATTGAGTTCATACTATTCAGGTGCACATACTATCAGGGACAGCAAGAAGTCCATTCTAATACTGACCTGAGTTCAACCTACCTCTGGTTGGTAGACTTGCACCAGTAAATAGATAGTGGATGTTTGCGCGCTGACTGAGTAAAATAAAAGAAATAAATTTATCCACAAGATTTGTCTGACCTGAAAATCTGATTTAAAACGCACTCACATACGAGGCTGATGTTTGTAAAGTGCAAGCATGCCACGGGCCCACTCTCAGTGGCGTTATAATCTGTCAGGGAATCAGTGGTTTAACAGTGGTTCTATATAACTGATCCCTTTTTAAGTCATAGAAAGGTTCCCTCATGGATCCCAAACTATCTGAGAAATGGGAATCGCAAGCGGTTTATTTTAATTAAAAGGTGAACACTGGCAATGGGAGATTCCTACAGCTTCGGTGACATTTTTGGTTAGTGCGGCACGATATGTCCAATGTGCCCTATTAACCCAAAAAGCAAAACCCAAAGTAAAGTGTTCCAAAGACATGTGCCCGCCAGTCAGTTAGCCCTGCTCACAGCGAAAACTGAGATGTAGCTTGTACAGCACTGATTTATAATTGACGTTGAGAGTAATCCAGTAACAAACCAATGCACATTGTTCACCAAAAATGCTCTTTTCATCAGAAGTGCTCTCTTTTGTTGAGAGTTCAACTTACAGGAGTCAGCTGAGTGTGGCGGAATTGAATAGAATGTTAAGTTTCGAGAAACATGAACTGCGTTCCTCAAATTCGTTAGCCACCTCGGCTGGCAAATCAGGCATTGTCCACTGTTCCACAAGTACTGTTTAAACCCATCCATCTACCCACTTGGTTTAATTTACGTTTATATGCAGAAGTCACATGTCAAGTGCTATTCATGCGGTCACACTGTAAACAAGTCAGACACTTACCTTTGTTTGCTCTACAATCAGCTAAAATAGTGAAATGTATCATCAGTCTGGTGTATACCCAAAGATCTCTCACCATCACGCCACCATTCAATTCTCTTCTGTACCGGTTAAACATTCACCCGCCAGAAATTCATGAACAGGCATGGTTGCGTTGGACGGGATTCAGAAGGCAATAACAACTACAAAACAACAACTTGTGTTTATGTAGCACCCCTCACGCAGGATAGCGTCCCAGAGCGCTTGACAGTGAGCAATAAGAGTGCTCCCAGTGCAACTTTTGCTCAGGAGATCAAGTACATTGAAACTGCAGCCAATACAGAGTGTACTTACATCATCACCAGGGCCATCGGTTTACACACCATCAACCAGGGGGACACAGTGCACTAAACTATGTACTATGGGCAGATATCAAACGCATGCCATGTAGGTTAACTAATGAGAAATTAATTTATATAGAATTGGTTTTCACACAAGAATTGTACTGAGCAATGTCCACCACTCTATTAATAATAATAATCATCCTTGCATTTGATACAGCAGCCTATCACGTCTTCCAGACATCTCAAAGCGCTTCACAGATTATATTGTAAATATATTGAACTGCTATGTACATTTTGTGGGCGAAATTAGGTTCTTGTACTGCAAATCGGACTATTATCTTCCATTTCATGCCGAATCCAATTCTCTTCACCAGTATGAATGTTCAGAATTTTTGTTTTTAAGTCATGAATTTCTAATTTCTCATTTCATTGATGAGAGAGCTGATCGATCTGTAACTGCATTCAATGTTAACAGTCAAGGGTGACCATCATTGGTATCTGTGGAGCAAGAGAAGGAGATTATAATAATAATAATAATCCTTGCATTTGATATAGCGCTTTTCACGTCAGGAGGACGTCCCAAAGCGCTTCACAGAATACACTGTAAAGTGAATTGACTGTATATTTGTGGGCGAACGCGGCAGCCAATTGCGCACAGCAATGTCCCACAAACAGTCGTAGATTGAAAATGCCCAATTTATTATTGTTTTGTTTTTGGAGGGATTATTATTAGGCGTGTGGAGTAAGGAAACTTGCCCAAGGTTTCGCCCTGCCTGGAATTGAACTCAGGTCTCTCGCTTGCAAAGCGAGCGCTCTAACCACTGAGCTACAGGACTCCACCTGTTCATAACAGCTACATCTGAGGAGCACTGCATGTCAGATCCAGAGGGGAAGAGAATTTTGAGATTAAAAAAATTCCCAAAGGCCATCTCTGAAAAAGGTGCATGAGGTGAAAGAAAGTACAAGACAGGAAGATAATCTCAACTACAGTAGCTAAGGAATATAACCACCTGTCCACGGTTTGGAAAAAGACACGTACTTTCAGTTATGTGGATGTTACTGTTTGCACTTCTGCACTGTGACATTATCAGTTTACAATCCAATAAAACTAGGCTGTTAGCTGAGCAGGTTGGCTCAGCTGTCAGTTTACACTGCTGTAAACCAGCCACCCTTCCTCCAGACATTTCAGTTGCAGTTTTCTACCTGTAAATATTGGAGACATTTTACTTATCTGGGGTTCACTAAGTGGGAAACTGATCTAGTAGTTGCTTGTTTTGATTGGAAAAATATATATTTTTAAAAAAACTCTGAAAACAGACGCCACTTTCCGAATGTTCAAGATCCTCGTCCTCACCTTTAAAGCTCTCCACGGTCTTGCTCCTCCCGACCTCTGCGACCTACTAAACCTTTACCGACCTGTCCAAGTCCACCATTGGCGGTCGGGCCTTCAGCCTTTCTGGCTCCACCCTCTGAAACTCCATCCCGGAATCTCTCTGCCTCTCCCCACTAATCAATGTATGTGTATTTATACAGTAAGAGTACACTGAATTTTCATGGTGACCTGATCTGAATGTACACTTGGTACGTTCTCCTTTGGCTGTTAAATTCAGGTCATGTAGCAAATCAACTATTTGGGGGGGGGTGTGGTTGGGGGGTCACACTAAGCCTGGTAACAAGCTCCCTATTCACATTACCGTTCAAATATAGCAGTCAAAAATTAAACAACCAACAGTTATTTCACTTTTGACAAGCAAACAACAACAACTTGCATTTATATATACATGCCGGG